TATATATATATATATATATATATATATATATATATATATATATATATGTGTCTGCTGAGCAGCAGCTGAACATACAAACATACAATGTGAAAAAAATATATATCATGACCTGCTGTGTTCAGGTAGAGGGATCTAATTGGGCAAGAAGGTATATTTTACATATGATCAACTTGATGCCCACCTGCTTTTACCTCCATTTGAATTTGAAAGGCTCCTCCATACAGAGCTCTGCAGTTGGTTTCATAAAAAGACACGTTTCCAGCGTAGCACCTGATGACACCAATCTCTGTAACAGGCTCTTGAATGGTAATTATCCTCTGGGCTGTAATGATTCTTTCACTGTTGGTGCATTCAACTTCCACAACGAACGCATCTGGATAAGTGAACCTGTGCACCACGGCGCTTCCCGACCTGAGAAAATTGGCACGCAAGAACAAATGGGGATGTTAATGTGGACTTTTCGCCTTTGGCAGAAAAGGAGGAACTCAGAAACATACTTCAAAACAACATCTGGATGATGAATATTAATAAAATTTATTTAAAAAATCATGTACGTGCATTATTCCTAATCTCATTTGAATGGATGTTTTAACCAATAAAATACTAATATTATTTCCTTTTAATTGATGTTATAGTGAAAACATTTTTTTATAAAAGAAAATTAAGACCTTTTCTCTAGATACAACACGTTGTTCATCATTAATTATAAAAATGTGTTCATACATACTAAATGTTTTTGCATGCGCTGACAAAATAACTAGATTCAGTTACTCAAAAAGCTAATAATTATTTATTTAATAAAATCAGAGATAATGGTATTATTTGCAGAGCAGTATACATATTATAGAGCAGAATAAAGTGTTTTATTAACCAATATATACAGTTGAAAAAGACAAAAATCTAAATTGAATCTGTGACATTTAATGCTTTAGTAGTACCCGTTACAACCACAGTTATGACAAATGAGAGAACCAGATTAATCTACTCAAAGAGGACTCTTTTGTGACCTGAAAACCTTTTAGGTCTTTTTTTAATCAGCATATGGAAAAATGCAAAGCTGAGAAGTGATTAACAGCCCAATTTACTTTACTTACTGTATGCCAGATTTTCAAAACAGTTAAAACATTTTAACTTCTTGAAAACCTTGTTTTTGCAAGAATACTATTTTGGGCCTACCTAATTGTTTGTATGCATATGCACTTTATTTCTTAATTTTCTCTCAGATTTTAGAAAGTGATTGTGATTTTATGTTAGATTCCTGGTAGATAAAATGTAATTTTTATGTCAAAAATGCTCAAATATCTGTTTTGAACCGCTCAAAAAGTGGACCACTGAATTAATTCAAAGTTAAAAAATAAAAACTCAGGAAGAACTTAAAAGAATAAAATCCTGACATACTAAATTACCTGAAACTTTAAAATATTTCAATAAACTTTTGGAAGCACAAGCAATGTTTCAAGACTCTTTGTGTCCAACAATTCCAATTAGATCACAGATTTTCAGGACATTTCCTTTTTGATAAATCCTACAGTTAGGGTTGTCTTGGGTTTCCTGAGCTATCCCTTAGTTATGCTGCTATGGGCTTAGACTGCTGGAGGACAAACTGACCACATTTCTTCACTCTGCTACTCTTTGTTTACTCTGCTCAACCTGTTTTGTTTTTGTAATAATTTTTTCTATCCTTAACACGTGTTTTTGTCATTCAGGTTCACGTGCACCTACATCTGGACCTTCCATTCTCTGTTTGCCTCTCCTTCCTGTCCTCTCAAACCCAGCCGGTCAAAGCAGATGATTGTTTGTCCTGAGCCTGGTTCTGCTGGAGGATTCTTCCTGTTAAAATTAGTTTTTCCTTTCCACTGTTACCATTGTGCTTGCTCAGGATGGGAGACTGTGAAGAAGTGAAGATTCAACGAGTCTGCTGGTTTTCTTCCTTAGATAGAGAACTTTACTAATTGGCTTTTCTATGTATATGAATGTTTCTGTAAAGTGTCCTGAGACAGCTTTGTTGTAAAAAGGTGCTATATAAATAAACTGAACTGAATTGAATTGACAAATATTTGGACAGAAGTAGAGATGGGCGTGTGTGCTGAAAGCTGCTGATCAGTAAAAGCTGTAAACCTGCGGATTCTGTATTTTAGGAGCTACAGGGGGAATGTGGAAGTCCTTGTATCAGTTAAATAAGGTTGTCACAGCTCAGACTAATTAGACTGAAGGACATGTGGGCAGACAACGTTAAGTTAAATGCCAAAAATGTTACCGTCTCTCTCACGCATAAAGAACATGAGTGGAAAACCTGGACTCGTTTGATGTTTGGTACATTATCTAAACCCACATAATGAGTCATTTATGGTGATTCAGTCCATTATGATTGCTACTTACCCATTTGGACCATGTAAATAAAAAATCTGACCATCTCCAGTGTTTAGTTTGCAGCGTAGGTTGTTCCCAGGCAGTTGGACGATTGTTGAGATGGTGACGTCTTCAGAGAGAGCAGCAACAGACACCACTGCCAGGGTGAGCACTGGTGGGGCAGAAAAATGACCAAAAGATGCTTTAAAGTGTTTCTACAAAACAACCAATTTACACCAGCACAAACAACAAAGAGAAGAAATGAAATGTAAATATTCCTTGAGACTGGATTCAGCCTGGAGTTTCTAATATTGTATATAAAATGCTTGACAGCAGTTTGAAGGTATAAAAAGATCAAACATAAACAGAACTATCAGACCTTTTCTTTTGTCAGGAAGAGAAACAGTTTGTGAGCTTCAGATAAAAACAGTGTCTATACTTCTCCAGGTGATGAAATCATCTGTTTTCATTTAGATCGACTCAAAAGAAAAAGAAAGGT